GCAAAGGATTCTGACAGGAGAAAGAGACTGAGGATGCAGGCTCATCTTCACAGCATGTTGCCAGCACCAAATTGGAGGGTCCCTCATAGCAACTGTGGTCCTGGTCTCAGAGTGCTCATGTGGACACCCTTCATACCCTAACTAATGGCCATCTAACTGGTGTCCGTGCTCAGAGCTTCCCTAAGGCTCTCTAACTTTCCTTCTCACCTTGGTTGAGGCCTCCATGATTTGGGCTTTCTGGTTTTGCCTTGCGCTTCCCTGGGTAAATAAATTCATTTATTCTGATCCAGTCTTTGGAACTTTAAACCGTAAGCTAGGCCTCCTCTGTCCCATTATATTAGCCCAAGCTTGAGCATCACATCTGGATATTTGGGCAAAGATGTAGACAAAATTTGATTTGGAAAATAAAGAACTTAATGCATTACTAAAAGATGACCTCAATAGCTATGTAGGAAACACAAATGTATAATATCAAGACATGAATCTTTTGCTCACGCTCTGCCCCATGCATGTATTAATAATTCCATCCCTAGGTTTACCCACTGTTCACAGCTGCACAAATCCTTCTTCTCTGGGAGTCTTCCTTGACCACCTTTTTATCCTTTGAGTTCCCATCACGTTAATGTCCCATTCCTCTGGCATCAGTCATATAGACTCTTATATCTTTTCTTGCATTATTCCTTTTTTAATGGTAGGAATGGCCTGGTGAGATAAAGGGCTGTTGTCTCTAGAGGCTTGGCAGGACCTCAATGGTAGAATGGCTTTGATGAAATCCCCACCACACAGGGCTTGATCCTTGGCTTACAAGACACTTTTGGGATAATTGCCATTATCCTAAAGGCTGATCAATCTCTGACAATTGATCAGCAGATATTTATTGACTGCCTCTTGCGTGTCACATGCTGTGCTAGGCACAGGTCTGTATTAACCCCCCTCCTCCAATCTCATCTCCCTCACCATACCTTTGCCTCAATTAGATGGACATTCTCACTGTCCTCTGATCACACCAGGCTCTTCTTACAGGCTGGTCTTTTTGTCTAGAAAGCTCCTTTCCCTCTTGTCCCTCTGGAGAGCTCCTTCCATGTCTTTGAGACTCCAGTGCAGCCATCACTACACCTTTGGAAATCTTTGTAGACACCCTACAGTTTTACCCATTCTCTCCTCTGAACAATCTCTGTATCATATTCGTATTTCTAATATTGGTTCTTACCACACTATATTCTGATGCAATTTTTATGGCCCCTGGTAAACTGTGAGGTTTCCAGGGACTGAAGTTTATGTTTAACTTCAGTTTATGTTACTGATGTTTATCACTGTTCAACCATCTCTTGGCACAGTGGCTGACAACCGTTGATAATCGTAAATGTTTAATTTGCTTACCTTTAACCTCCCCCCTCCCCCCTCTAATCTGTGGCTTTCTATCTGGAGTAGGAAACTCAGGAAGCTTGTTAGAACTATATATAAATTTAGAGTAAGCAGGTGATAAACAAGAGCCTGAAGGGTTTTTCTAAGAGTAAAGATGCAAACGTTTAGCATATGCAATTTGGTATACGTTTTTGGTCTTTTTAAGCCTTTTATTTCCTAATTTTTGCCTGTGTCCTGATAAAAGTTACCAGGAAGACTGGATCCAAATATTTTAGGTACTATGGGTACACAAAATTAGATGAGCCTAGCTGTCTTCTGAAGGAATTTACACCTTAAGAGAGGAAAATATCCATGTAAAAGTTCTAAAAATGGAGACTAATCATTAAGAACTATACCTCCTGATTAAATGTGAGGTTTTGGAGGGGGGAAGATCATTAATTGGAAAGCATATGAATAATTTTCAAAATATTGGTGTCATTGACTCAATACCCCTGTTATGTGGTCTGATATTGTGTTAAACATTTGGCAAAGGATCTTTTAAAATAAGCTATTCTTTGCATGATGCTTGTCTCTAATATTTTGGGGATTAAAATTCTCTTCTTGCACCATGTAAATAAAACTTACATTTCTAGTAGTGAATTCTTTCAAGTGTTCTCCAAATACCACATTGTGACCACCCGAACCTTAAAGCCTTTCCCAGCAGATCAAGAGTTCAGTGGCCCTAGACTCACACCTGTCCCCATTCCCAGAACTCCCAGTGGACATGGGGCAGCATACATGAGCTGACTACTGTGTCCTGACTAGCACCTTGATGGTCAGTCTCCTCAGGGAGAGCTCAGTGTTTTAGAAAGAGAAGAGGTAGTTTCTCCTCACCTCTAAAACCTTGGGATTTCCTGCTTTCCTTTCTAGTCTTGCTGTCATACTAGAATTTTTGATGCCATAGGATCAAGTAGAAGATACTCCACTTAATGTCACTAATTTTTATTGCAAGGGCAGATGGCTTCTTAAATCTAAAATTTTACCAGGCAGGGTGATTGGTTCATTAAGGTGAAAACTTCACTTTCAACTCTGCTACGCTAAAATTTGTGATAACTGAGAGAGAAGCTGCTTTTAGCTCACCGTTCCTCCATATATGGGGAAAATCTGGCCAAAAAAATTATGAAAACAATATTGTAGAACACACATTTAACTCATTTAACAGAACATGTTTGAAAAATAAAGTTAGCATTTCCTGTTGCTATAGTGTAACATCTATTTTGGCAAATTGAAAACTACCACCTGAATAGTCCCCTGCAAAAAAACTCCAAACAAAAAATTTTTAAAAGCATTTTCATAACATTTTGGTATCTTTCATCCATCGTTTAAAATGCCTTTTTGCACATTTTTATGATCCTGTACAAGATTTTAATATTTATTATTGGCATTTCCCAAGTAGATATTTTTTAAGCAAGAAGAGATGACATTTGTGTTATCAAAACGAAAACCCTGGTCGTGGTCTTTGTGCTGGTTTTTAACTTTAAACAATTCTAATAGCTTTACAGAACACTTGATTCAGGCAGAGGTGTAACGTACACTGGTCAGTAATCACCGAGCTCCTACTGAGCCCTGTGACTAGCACAGAGGACACAAAGATAAAGACAACACAGTCCTTTCCCTCAAAGAGCCAACCTTCTGATGGTAACATAAACCCATACAAAGTGCACATCATAATCACTGAGACAGAGGAACACACAAGGGACAAGGGCAAAAAAGGAGTGAATTGTTGCTTGAAGAAATCAGGAAAAACTGCAAATAGGATGAATCTGAGCTGAGTGGCAAAAGTGAGAAGGGTGTATTTATTACAAAACGGCCAGTCAGGGTCTCGGAAGAGAGTTCTGTGTGGCATATGCTTTGGTCAATTAAGAGAAAAACAGACTTAACAGGTGCCACAGCAAAGAGCTGAGACTTCATCCTGCTTCAGTGAGGTTAATAAGCAAGGGCAAGTTGACTGATGGGTGCACAGTGGGGACAGCCTGAGGCAGGCTGCGGCTGCAAGCTAGGAGCAGAAGAAGTGTTTCGGGGCCTTTCCACAGCGGTGATGGATTTTGTAGTAGTTAGAGGTGGGGGCAGGTGGAGGTCATGGGAGTGAGGACTCAAAGTCAACCTGTTATTAGCTTGGGAGCCGGGATAGATGGTGCTACCACCAATGGAAATGGAGAAAACAGGAAAGGAAGAGGGTCTGGGATGCCCACCTGCTAGCCTGCTTCCCTGGAGGAACAACTTGATCATCTAGCAAAATCCAGCACCTTAGGGAGCTTTCCCTCCCCTCCCTGGGATCCTGCCACTGTGATCTCACACACCCTGTGCTCAACCCACCACAACAGCTCCCAAATGGAGGCATAATTACCTGTCTTACCTCCCCAGGGGAGAAAGCGGAGTGCAAGACTCAAATCAGACAGAGCCCCCAGGAATCTACATTTAAGGCAGGTGGAGAGCCAGGGGAGGACCAAGCACTGGAAGAGGAACAGCCTGGCAGCGCCTTCCCAACACACTGCACACAGTGACTCATGAACACCTGAATTTTCATGTATACATGTTTTTCATGTTTATGCCATTCAAATTAAACAACACGCAGAGGTTATTGTTAATAGCTATAAACATTTATTAAGCACCAAGAGTATACTGCAATGGTTGCTATATAAAAACATAATCACTGATATAGTATCCCTGCCATTGAGCTTACAATCTAAAATGAAACACAAGAAAAATGCTATAAGCCTATCTCAAAATTTCCTTAACTTAGAAATGACTATCTTAGCAAATGGAGGAGGCAACATGACCTATTATTTAGGTATAGTGTTAAGGCTTTGGATATGATCCAAAGAATGTTTTACTTGCACTCATTTTTCCCAATTATATTAGGCTTGCTAAGAGTACTTAGAAATTTGGTAAGAACAATGACTTATTTCAAATTGCCTTATAGGACTTTAAAACTCAGAAATGCTTATGACCTGAGTTTTTCTGCAGCCAGGGCAAGCCTCCTGAAAAATATTATGAACCAGATAAAGTTTGTCTTCTATTCAACTTACAACTTTTCAACTTCTTCCTCTTTTCCCACATGTGAGGGCTCCAATGATACCCCTTATAAGGAAGAAATTACTAGTAAACTATCCTAAAGTTTTAGAGGCTTAACAAGTAGAACTTCCAGAAAATATTAATTCATATTTTAAGAGAAGACTGAGCAAAGACAGCAGGGGACCTCTGGCAACAGGAAGTGCCTGGCTATGTATGAAATGTGAATGCAAGCAGTCAAGTTCAGGCCATGCATCTGCACAGTGATGATGAAATATGCAAATGCTTGCTTTTCTGATCTGTATATCTGGTGTAGGGGTATACAAGAACTTAGCATCAAGACTCTATTGCAAACCCTGTCCTATTTTGCTTATATTTATAGTATAATATTTAATAAATACTTCCGTGGTTTTCATTGCTGGTCATATATTAGCTGATAAAGGCACACTGAAGGGATTTTGATTCTTCTGTCAAATGCAAAAATTATTTTGAACTACTGAACACATACAAACTATATATTGATTATTTTCAACATTTATGATAATTCTTTTAACTCTAAAAAATATTGATTATAAGTTATCTAAAAACAGAAATAGAATTTATTCCATAGAGTACAAGCACAAAAATTTTAAAAATGCATGCATACAAATATTTTAATGGCAGAGTGGTAGAATCCTGAGATTTATTTTATGGCAAAACTATTTCAGCAATTTTTGTAAAAACCAATAATTTTTCCCCTAAAAGTCTATCTTGGCAAATTTCTTTTTAAATAACAGTGGCGACATTTTAAAAATGTTCAGAAAGGTTGCTTTGCATAACCAATTTATCCAGAAAGAATGGTCCAGAAATTTCAGGATAAAACTTTCTAAAAATAATTCACTAATTTTAACCTAAAAGTGACACTAAAACACCCCTCTTCCAAATTAAAGGTGAAATTTTATACCTCATACTCACAATAAATAAAATCTGTGAGATTTGAAATGGAAAACCTGAAACACTCATCAATATTATTCTCTTCTATTAAGATGACAGGAATTAATTTTAATAGGTCACCTCAGAAAAAGGAGAAAAAAATTTTTAAAAATTTAATTACAATTGTGGTAAATGAATTTGGGTTTACCAATCTCAGTCCATGCACTTATTTTTGGTTGGTATTGTATGAAATGGCTAGAATTCCTGATTAAATATGTGTTTTTCTAAAGCAAGGCAAGTTTGATTACATATAAAGCATAGACATTAGATGGTTATAAAGGCAATATGACCAAAATATATATTTACTTTTTTGAAGTGATACATTCCAAGCTACATACAATTTAATTTCATGTCCTATTCTAAGACTGCACAGTTGACATTAAGCTTAGAGGCATAATTGCTGTAATACATTAAAAAATACTTCATTTTTTTCAATATTGTAAAGTATACTGTATTTCCAAATAACTGGTATAAATTTTTTGCACAAAATTTTGAGACATACTATTAGCTAGCTATAACTACTGTGTTAAGTAATCACATGAAGGAAGAATTCACAAGGAGAACAAAATACAAAACTAAGCATAGTAATTATTGCATTTAGAAAAAAACAATCAAGTAGTTCTGATACACTTGTTCCTTGTCTTAGTAATGTGTATATTCATTCATTTTACAACTACTAGGTTTGACAAACATACTAAGATTGTATAACATTTGTTTTTCTTGGTTGGTTATTGTTCTTTTCTATATCTTCCCCTAACAGCAGTCAGAGGTAATTTTCTTTTGAATACAAAGTAAATTAATGTTAGTATACTGTTTTTTAGCTGAGTCATATAAAAGCTGACTCCTTTGATTTTAAAAAGTTATATTTAATTTTGGAGGCCTTAATTAAGATTTAACATTTGACCATGTATTTTTTTGCTATATAGTCTATATGTCAACAAATTGATAAGGGTTAATTAATAAAGGCAAATCTTGATTTCATGTGTTTTAAACATGATTATACAATTTTTTTAATGAGAAAAAGGAGATGAAGAAAACCATTTCTGTAGACATGTAAGTCTTCTTTGCTCAACTGCTTTGAGACAAAGTTTTTATAAATAAGGGTAGATCAAATCAAACTCTTATCTTTGTATAGAAGAGAAAAAATATAAAGGAAGTTATTTCCTTCCTAAGGTCTCAGCTAATTTCTTAAGTCTTTTCTTCAGCTCCAATGGAAATTTCTCATAGCACTTCTTACAAACTGGCTTCATGTCAAACTCCACAAATTTATTCCTAAAGATAATAATTATAAAAAAAGAGAAATTAGTGGAAATGTATTCAATATACATATAAATAATGTGAAATAATTTTATTGAACTACATGAAGACAGTCTATAACATCTATATTCACATTAGTAAAGAATTATAATTCTAATCTCAAATCTTATTTGTGGTAAATGTAAATTATTCACAGTATTGTTTGAAAAAAATTGTCCTTATAAATTGGTCCTATACATCTATCTGTGTAACAAAGACTGCATATTACATTTTACTCAATGCTAAGTTAACATAAAATCTAATAATAAAATTTAGGTTAGTAAAGTCAATCACGTTTTAAAGTATCATGAGAATAACTTAAAGAATACATTTATTTAAAGCAAAGAATCATACTTTTGTAATATGAATGATCTCTTTATTAGAGGTAAAGTGATCTTACTTAGTATTTTAAATTAAGTAGCTAAGAGGTTTCATCTTTCCTGGTATAAAATTGTTTTCCTCTTATCTACAACAACAACAAAAAAATCACCTTAAATCATTTTAATATTATCTAAAGTCATAATGAGTTATTTTGGTTGTCTGACAGAAAGGGTGGTAAGGGAGATATAAGAAAGTTTTTAATCACTCTTAAAAAACACAAATGTAACTAGATTATTCATCCTGGTTATATCGTAAATAGTAGCTGTTTGGAGAACTCAATTATTCTTTTTAAAAGCAAGAGCAATACGTATTATCAATTTGTTTATAAAACAGTCCTAGAGAAGACAACTTCTTAGATAGTCTCCTGACCAATGGTAATGCATTTTCAATATTACAGTAGCTTATTACTGTTGGAATCCAGGGTCTTTAATTTTGAATTAATACACAACTTTATAACTTATCTGTGAAATGATATTTAGGAAGCATTTGTGGACCAAGTCTAGTGGTACATTGTCATCTATGACAAAAATTATAAAATTTGCTGTTATAATTTTTAATGTAGTTTTCAAATATATTAAATTAGACTATTTGTTCTTTAAAATGATCTTGAAGCAATGTTAATAACAAAGTTAATTTCTACCTACATAGATAAAATGAAAAATCTTCTATTTTAACACACCACACTGGGAATTATTTCATAGCTGTTTTTCACAGAGACCCTTATGCTCACAATAATTCAAATAGTACATTTCAAATGGCAGACCAAATGCTTCAAGGGGGCACTTTGATTTAAATAACACAGTTGTGTTAATTTCTCCCAAGGTCTACTTAGAACAAAAGCTATTAAAACTGCCTTTTTGTTGATGAAAGAAAAAATTTACTCCTGCTTTCAGAGAGACTACTTAGCAAGCCTTCATTATTTTCATTTTATGTTTGCATTTTAATTCCTCTTTATGAAATTTTTAGAGCTCTAAACACAATGGTAATCATGGGGGAAAATGAAACAATCATGCCAGTAATTCAATACAGTTTGGAAGATTGAAATACTTCCCTTGAAAATGAGGAATAATAGAGTTTGAAGAAATCAAGGTAATGAATTCCTAAATAGTAGCATATGGACATTATATGAAAGCATATAAAAACATTAGAGAGAAGATATCTTATGTAAATTAGATGGACTTTGCTTAGATATGAAACATGCCAAAAGAATTTAATACAGAATTTAGAACACATGCATTTTTAAAAATATCAACCAACACTTAGAATTTATCAATTAAATGATTTTAGGCAAAAAAAACCCCAAAGACCAGGATTTTAACAGTTGTAATTATCAGATAAAAATACTTTAAAACTTTTCCTAGTATCTATTAAGAGATTGGCATTCTTCCCCTTGAATCCATTACAAAAAAAAGATATCTATACAATATTGTGATTTTTAAAAAAGGTGATTGAGTCTACAGATTAAGTGAAATACGTGAGCACAAGCTGGTATTAAGTATGTAACTTATTCATTCAATCTTTATAATTTTAATAACTATGCAAAAGGACCAACTCTACACAGGACAAATAAATGCTTGTGTTTCAATCTCTGACACCTACAAATACATGCCAAAAAGGGGCCAGGGTTGGGGTGGTGGGGAGAAAGCAAAAGACAGAAACAGAACAAAAACATACTCCAAAGGACTAACCAAAGAAGAAAGTAGTGAAAATGATCACAGAAGGGTAGAAAAGTTTACAAACAGACTGGCTTTTTCTTTTTCTGCTTGTCCTTATCCTTTGCTTCTCTCTCCCGTTTGGCAAGTCGCCTCTTAAATTCTTCTGGCATTTTCTCATAACAGTGTTTGCAGACTGGCTTTAGATCAATTTCAACAAACTTATCCCTTTGAATAGGACAAAGAAGGAATAGAAGAAAGAATAGGGAACAATTAAAGGAAGAAACTTTACTTGCAGAAGGCCTGAAGAGAAAGAAGAAATAAGGAATCAAATAATTCTCTTTCTTTAAATTCTACACCCCAAAGTTTTCAGTCTTAGGATTCACACTGGACTAAACCAAAGACTTACTTGAGTGTTAACTTAGTGTTGCAGGTAGAACAGGCAAAGCAATTCACGCACCAGGCCTTATTCAGAGCAGAGACCACTAGAAAAAGAGGAGAAAGATCTGGTCACACAGAGACAGTGGTATAGGAAGCAAGGCACCTTAAATTTTCCAAATCTAAAACAGAACTAAGGCTCTTTTCATGTCACTTGGAGGAGGTTCTTAAGAACCTCTTTTTTGAGAGGTTCTTTACTTGCAAAAGAATAACATAGCTAAAAAGCTCAGTGCCATTAATTAACGTGTATTGAGTCAATCAATTTTATTAATTTATTAGGACTATTTTTTCACATTATTAAATAAATATGTAAACCAAACACTTATGTCTTCTGTAGCTGTAGGCTTCAATTTAGGGAAGATTATTATTACGTTTTTCAACTTTTATTTATTCAGTTGTCCCTCGGTATCTGTAAGGAATTAGTTCCAGGACTCCCCAACGACAGCAAAATCTCAGATGCTCAAGTCCCTGATATAAAATGCACATAACCTATATACATCTTCTCCTATACCTTAAAACATCTCTAGATTACTTATAATACCCAATACAATGGAAACAATACATAGTCATCATGATTTGTTGTTTTGTTATTTGTATTATTTTTATTTTTTTTGTTTTGTTTTGTTTTTTTGAGACACAGTCTTCTTTGTTGCCCAGGCTAGAGTGAGTGCCGTGGCATCAGCCTAGCTCACAGCAACCTCAAACTCCTGGGCTCAAGCAATCCTGCTGCCTCAGCCTCCTGAGTAGCTAGGACTACAGGCATGTGCCACCATGCTCGGCTAATTTTTTCTATATATATGTTAGCTGGCCAATTAATTTCTTTCTATTTATAGTAGAGACAGGGTCTCGCTGTTGCTCAGGCTGGTTTCGAACTCCTGACCTCGAGCAATCCACCTGCCTCGGCCTCCCAGAGTGCTAGGGTTACAGGTGTGAGCCACCGCGTTCAGCCTGTTTGTTGTTTTTTATTGGATTTTTTTCCAGAATATTTTCTATCCATGATTGGTTGAATCCACAGATGTGGAATCCTCAGATATAGAGGGCCAATTGTAATTAATTCTTCTCTCTCCTTCAGTAACCTGCGAGGCATACCAATGATACAAACCATGTGTTACACCAACAACTATGCCCGCTCAGCACAGTGGGCAATGCAGTGATGTGCACACAAATTACGTCGCTCGGGCCAGCTTTTCTGGTACAGTGCCTGCTGATCAGCACGCTCTCTGCTGTTTTTGTCCCTACTGCCATTGGCCCAACAAAGAAATATGAACTAGATAAATAATTTATTTAAATCCGGACATTAACTTCTTTGCCTGTAAGAGTCTTTTTTCCAAAGCTGACAGTAAGAAAATAGCCTCCTTTGATAGCTTCTTTTGCCTGGTAACAGTTTCACAGAGGAGGAAGGTGAATTTTATTTTCACTGGCACTAAACATTGTTTTCCTGAACTAATCTTTTTGCAAACTGCACATGAACAGTGTTTCAGAAAGTATTTCCTGAATTAGGTGAAGTCTGCTAAGAACCATGAATCATGCTGACAACAGGATTGTTTAAAACTTTGCCAGGAAGTTTCTGGCAGAATTGTGCTAGTGACTATTAACAAACACAGCTGCTTCCTTTCTGTTCCAGTCAGTCATCACAGCCTAATTACCACAGCACAAGGGTGGTAAGTCCCAGGTATGCTTGCTGATAACTGCCAGGTTTTAGCATGTGCAGATTAACTACCTAACTACCACAGCAGATTAGACTGTTCCCAATAAACATTGCTCTAGCAGGGGTCCGCAAACTTTTTAAACAGGGGGCCAGTTCACTGTCCCTCAGACCGTTGGAGAATACGGCGCACATTCCACACATGCCCACCGAGGGCCCGGGACGAGTCGGCTGCTAAGCAGGACAGGCAGCGGTAGCAAAAACACCCGGCGGGCCGGGCCGGATAAATGTCCTCGGTGGGCCACATGTGGCCCTCGGGCCGTAGTTTGAGGACCCCTAAATCTAGAGCTTCGAGGAACCAGAAATAGAAACAGGTCTTAGGGTCCACCAGGAAGAGTTCCTATAATTGCTAGCATAACAGCACTGTGGCAGCAGCCTAAAGGATTATCATAAACGAGTAACAAATCCAACTCTTAGATATTATATCACTACTATAGATGAATTGGGAAATATGCCAAAGAAAGAAAAAAAGCAACTGATAATAATCCCATTCCAAACAATAGCAATCACCAACTTCTTTCGATTTTCATATTACCTAAGTGTTTTTGTGTCAAAATGGTGCCATATAAAATCCACACAGAACTTACCATCACCTTCTATAACACGGTTGCAGTGGAAACAAACATCACCAAATAGCTGAAAATGAAGATGTGTTGGAATTAAATTTTAGAATACTGAATATTTAATATAATTTCAGTTCTTTATCACTTAAAAACAAGTAACTTGCTATCTAAATCCAGAATTTATTGCCAGTAAAGAAAATTAGTAAAAGCTCATTGACAAGTTTTTACTTCTTGTAATGAAAATAATTTACTTTTCATCATTAAAAAAAAATCTTTCTAGATGATGTTTTGAGCACCCAAATAATTGAGTAATAAAAAATATAGAAAACTGCAAGTCCATATGGGTAAGAAAGATAAATGAAAAAACCTACAGGTGGGGGAGGAAAATAGGCTCTTGCTCCTGCAGAACGCTGAGGACCAACTAGGTGTGGGGTGTGGAGCTGGAGCAGGCAAGAATTATCACAGGGTGTTACATGGCGGCGGGGGGTGGATTTTAACAAGGAAAAGCACATTTACATGGTTATAAAATGCGTGCCCATAAACTGCTTATTATAATACTTGCATGAGAAAGACGGAAATAGTAATTCATAGTGGAAATACGAGCCAGCTCTCTGCCTGTGCCTGGGTGACCACCAGTGTCAGGAAGATTGGTACAGAGCCCTCTAGAAGCAAGGCCCTGAGAGGACACATCACCACCTGCCAGTGCTGTAGCCTAGAGTGTGTCATCTCGTTATCCTGTCTAATCGTGAGAACCAGCAGATGAACCCAAGTACAAAGCAGTCTATTAAGGGGGCAGGGGAATCTGTAGTCTTCAAAAATGTCAAAGTCATCAAAAAATTTTAAAAAGGCTCTGGAAATGTTCCAGATTTAAGCTGGCTAAAGAAACGTGACGATCTTAGACTAGATCTAGTCCAGGAGAGCTATTAAGGATATCATTGGGTCAAATGATAAAATTTAAATAAATGGATTAAAGTATTATATCAGTACTGATAACCACAATTAAATAAAAGAGTCCCATATTCTTAGGAAAGATTTATTGAAGGATGATGATGAACTTATTGGCAAATGCTTCATTAGAAAAACTTTGCATGTGTTTGTATATAAAGATATGTGTATTTATGTAAGTATTTTTATACAGCAAGATCTAATGCATGCAAATGACACAAATGGTGCATCTGAGTAAAAGAGATATAGGTATTCTTTGTATTTTTTATTTTATAACTTTTCTGAGTTTGAATTTATTTCCCAAATAAAAAGTTAAAAATAAATCTCTATAGACCAACATACATTTTCTAAGACATTTCCTTGTAGCTAAAATTTGGATAAGCTTAAATTCACAAAAGTATATGAGTAAAATACCTGATTGTAGTGGGTTTCACAATATGCCAGGCCCTTCCTCTCATAATGGCGATGTCCAAGAAATGGTTTTTCACACTTGGCGCAGACAAAATGCTGGAAAAAATTGCTATCAGTAATTTTTGAATTGCCATATCTTAACCTATCCTCAGAAGAGATACATGAAGGTATGAGGTAGTCATTTCATTTGGCCATAGGTAACTCTATAATACTTTTACAGTCTTAATTCAGGTGTCTGTGAGTCTTTGACAGGTTACTTTAAAACCCAGCACATTCAAACAACACAAAATGAGAAAAGAGATGAACGTCTTAGTAGCATCTGTAAACAGCTGCTGCTGGGTATAGAAGACCACAACACTTCCTGCTTCAAGGAGGATTTAAGAACAGAAGTGCACATCTTCTATCTTACTAAGAGACCACAAAATCAGTGTGTATTCTGTGTTCTTTAACCTTTAGAATTTCCTAATCTTGCTAATATACCTGAACAATGGACATTCAAAAGTATCAGTTATGCCTATGCCATTGACAACTCACCTCCACATGCCACTGCTTGCCCATGGCATTTACTACACGCCCCTCTATGGGCCGTCGGCAAGCGCCACAGATGGGGACCCCCATTTTATCATGGCACGGCAGGCAGTACAGTTCCCCTTTCAGCTCCCGGGCATCAGCTGTCAGCTCCTTCCTGTCCACAAGAAAGACACCCACTGAATACTACTACAGAGAGAGAGAGAGAGAGAGAGAGAGAGAGAGAGAGAGAGAGAGAGAGAGAGAGAATAGGCAACCAATGTGGCTAGCACACTTTTTAGGAGGTTCTAAAAGATAATACTGTGTAAGAAATTACCATCCTTGGTAATTTCTTTTTCCCTCTTTAGAGGTGATCAGAATAACCTGAATTAATAGGCTTGAGCAGGTTTCAGATTCCTGTCCAAACATCAGTATCTTATAATAATGATAAGATACAAGAATAGGTCAGATATATACGACCACCTATCATTTCCCTCTCATATCATCACATTACATTTTAATCTATTTGTCTTCCTTAAAAAGCTACAGAGAATAATCACAGTGCTGAGGGTAGACTCAGTAATACTACCTGCTCTGGTGTGAATGTGTTCCCCAAAGTTCATGTGTTAGAAACTTCATCCCCAATGCACAGATGTTGGGAGGTGGGACCTTTAAGAGGTGATTAGGTCATGTGGGCTCTGCTCTCATAAATGGATTCATGCCATTTTTGAGGGAGTGTGTTCCTTATAAAAGTATGAGTTCAGCCCCATACCCTCCCTCTCTCTTTTTCTCGTCCACGTGATACCTTCTGCCATGTTATGATATAGCAAGAAGGCCCTCACCAGATGCTGGCCCCTCAACATTAGACTTCCCAGCCTCTAGAATCATGAGCCAAATAAATTTCTGTCCATTATAAATTACCCAGTCTGTGGTATTCTATTATAGAAGTGCAAAACAGACTAAGACACTACCTTTCCAAACTAACCGAGAAGTCTGGAGACTAGTTCCATTTATTAACAATTATGTAAATTGTCACAAGCTTTAAGAACAATTATAGGTTAATAGAAAAAAAACAAGGAAATGCCCACAATTTTCCTTCTCCAAATGCTCAAAATAGCTATTATTTTCAGTATCCTGTGTCAATAAAATTTGGCCAGAGAAGGCCCCAATTAGCCAAATGGACTTGTTTGAATTTCATCTGTTTTAAGTAATTCTCAATGAGAGATGCTAATAAAAAATGGACAGAGAAATATCCTACAAGAGAAAGGACAGGCAAGAAAACTAGGTAAGGCATAAACTGATAATTCAATCACAAAAGGTGAGGTGGCTGCACTTATACCACAAAACTGTTTTCTTAATCTTTAATCTACTGTTTCTCCTCCTTCCTTCTGTAATTTAGCATGTAAGCTCATACTGACTACAGTAAAGAATCTTTTTTTCACTAAATTTTTATACTAGATAGCAAATTCTGAAAATTCATGGCCTAACTTTTTGAAGATAAAAAATTAAATATATACCCTTTAGATGTGTAATAAATCAAGCAAAATTAAATAAATATAATTTAATATATTTTAATATAACACTATTATAACTATAAAAGTTATATATGTACAGAGGTGAGACTTTTTTTTAGTCTTTAGATTCTGTATTGGAAAAACAGTGAAGAAAAACACACTTTTGGAGATAACTGGGTGTATTTTAATATGGACTGATATATCTTACATTACAAAATTACTGGTAATTTTTTTTAGGTATAAGAGTACTATAGTTTTATAGGAAAATGTCCTTATTCTTAGGTGCATACTGAGACTCATGTCTACAGCTTGCTTTCGAACTGTTCAGTGAAAAATGTGTGGCAAAACATTAACTGGTAAAACGAAATGAAAGGTATTCATCGTATCATTCTCTTGGCCCTTCTACAGGTTTAAAATTTTCTAGACTAAAAGTTGGAGAAATACAATTTGTTTGCTGTAGTAACAGAAATATAGATAAAAGTAATTTTTTATTTCCATTGCTTGTGCAATAAAAAAGAAATGGATCCCAATACCCGCAGTTGGCGCAGTTGAAGTGGTCTGGATGGTAAGGGTCATTCTTGAAGATCAGGGGTTGCTCGTCGATGATGGCGTGGCATTTCTGGCAGATGTACTTCCCCAGGCCTCTGGCTTTCTCACGATTATGACAAGGGCGACACAGGTGTCTAGATAGAACCAAAACTTAAATTAAAAATCTTAGTTTTTTTTTTTCTAATAATTAGAAACAAATATACTTCCCATACCTCTGAAAAAAAATTAAGGAAACCATTTCTTTAAAAAATCACTCCTGTGCTTTAAAGCAGAATCAGGCTACATGAAAAATGTGTTCCAACTCCCAATATCTGATTTTTGAGAACATCCATCTATGTATGCCTCCCCTGTTGGTGGCTCAGCCGTGCATGGAGCAGTCATGCCCTGTGCACAGAAACGCCAGGGCCCTGTCCCAGCATGCATCACAGAGCCAATGCGCTGCAGTGTCCCAGAGCACTGTCTGACATCCCACAGGGAACACACACGCAACCTTGTAAGAGTCACGTTGTCCGCCCACGTCCAACAAGGATAGAAAACTCCTACCTCCCAGCATTCTTGACAAACCCAATATCAGCCAGCACTTCCTGGCAGAGGTCACAGCGGAAGCACTCAGGATGCCAACTGTTATTCATGGCTTTGATAACTCGGCCAATGATGAATTCACCTGTGGGAAAGTAACACACACAGGATGTCACTTGTAACATCCTAAGTAATAAGTGTGGCACCTTATTTGTTAAAAGAAAAAAATAAGTGAGGAAAAAAATAAATGTGTTTAGCCCTTTCCCCATAAAAAGGGACTTTTTATTTATTTATGTGTCTACCAGAGTAAGTACCACATTAGGAAAAAAAAATGATTTTTATTTCATCTGAGTTCTTGTTTTTGATTCAATAGCCATATTTTGGGGCTGTTTTATGACATCTCTGAACAAGCTTTCCTTTGCCAAACAATGTACTGGGCTCTCTTGAATGCCTTTTGGTTATTTCTGGTCGATGCTGAAACAGAAATCTACAGCATATTTTCTTATAATCCATATTTAATTTCTTTTTCCACTAAACCTTTAGAACATTCTACTCAGTTTCTTCGATCTCTAGAAGCCTAATAGAGGTATTAGCGACCAGTGCAGTGGCTAAAATGCAAGCAAGTCAAGCACTTCTGTATCATCAAAGCAATCCCTAAGCATCTGTAAGCATCTTAAGCACCTCACTGATATCTCCCCAGTCTCTTCCCTGGCAAATCCAAAAGCTAGATAAAGATTGCGTTAACAAAAGAACACTCCAAAAGACCAACTAATAGGAGTCCTATTTCCTTAAATACCTTGATCTATACCCCAGATGTCCTTAAAAATCAACTCTCTTGGCAGGTGTTGTGGCTCATGCCTATAATTTTAGCACTCTGGGAGGTAGAGGCAGGAGGATGGCTTGAGATCAGGAGTTCAAGATCAGCCTGGGCAACAGCAAGACCCCGTCTCTAATAAAAATAGAAAAAAAATAGCCGGGTGTGGGGACACTGGCCTGTAGGCCCAGCTACTTGGGAGGCTGAGGCAGGAGGATTGCCTGAACCCAGGTCACAGTGAGCTAGGATGACTCCACTGCAACAGAGGAGTCTTAAAAATAAAAAAATCAACTCTCTTAAAAATAAAAAAATCAACTCTCTCCAGGTTTGGATACTCTTCCAGATTGTTACATATTAACAATAAAGAAGGCTGATAAAGTACCTAACAATTATTTAATAAAATGAGCACCAAAAACTATTTTTACCATTGATATCTTTAATAATGTTAAGTGACCAAAGTGATTTTGAAACTTACTTTTTACTTTACATTCAGCAGTGAAACTTACCACACTGGTGACAGCAAGGAGCAAAGAGCATCTGAAAATCATGTTCACAGTATTTTCTTCCTTCAAACTGAAAGAGAAAGTACTGTTAACTTACAAATATGAAACAAGCACAGGAGGAATATAATTATTCAGTGGAGACATACATGAAAGAAAAAGATGTTCTGAACTAAGAGTTCTACCCTAAGAATTTATAATTCTACAAGGATTTTTAAAAGCAGGTATCCTTTGGTACCTTTCATACACCTACATGTTGGTACACGAAAGATATCTTGAGTTGAGACTAGGATGAGTATTATACCTCAGAGACTGGTGACCTGAACTGGACTCCATGCTTAACTGTTTCCGGCTCACCTAATCTACCTTTAAGAAGCTGATGACAGGCCAGGCGAGGTGACTCATGCCTATAATCCTAGCATTCTGGGAGGCTGAGACAAGAGGATTGCTTGAGGTCAGGAGTTCTGGACCAGCCTGAGCAAAAGCAAGACCATGTCTCTACTAAAAATAGAAAAAGTAGCCAGGTGTGGAGGTGCATGCCTGTAGTCCCAGCTACTTGGGAGGCTGAGGAAGGAGGATCATTTGAGTCTAGGAGTTTGAGGTTGCTGTGAGCTAGGCTGATGCCATGGCACTCTAGCCTGGGCAACAGAGCGAGATTCTGTCTCCAACAAAAAAAAACCACATGCCTTTCTTTCGTTCACCTCCACTGTATGCAGGCATGATAAAGCTCAGACAATATTTGTGTGATGAACAATAGGAAATAAGTAAAGAGTATGAAGATTTTGAAGTATAGCCTACAAATGTTTAAGTTAGAAAAAAAAATCTAACTTAGTTCCTAGTTAGGACATTAGCATTTTATCTTGTAGTCTATACCATCTAAACATTGTACATATATTATTGTATTTATTAAATACCTATTATGCATCAGATACTAAATGGGTGCTAGAGATACCCAATGAATCTGGACAGTCCTTGCACCAGAGGTATTCAAAGTTAGATGGGAAGACAAACATATAAATAAATATCTATAATAAAGTATGGTCAATGTTCTCCATGCTAGAGATATAAACAAAGTGCTGTATGGTCTCAAAGATAAAGGAAATGAAACAGACAAGATTAGGCTGAAAACACCATTAATGATGTCCTGTAATAAGAAACACCTTAGGCAAAACTACTATTCCCTACTAATGACAGATACTGCAGAGCACAGGAATCAATAATTCTACCTTATATTTTTCAGTGGCAATGGATGACCATCTTAATGACAGACTTTAGGTTCACTTTTTAAACCACATAATCAAATTCACCTTGAGTAAGGAGCCAATAAGGATAATAATCCTGGTTGCTAGTATATCACTCTTAGGAGGAACTGCAGCCAAGCCAGAAATTCCAGTGCTCCCATCTCCAGACATACCTTTTAGTGAGTGGTTAAGAAAAAAGGGTCTCATTCTAGACTTGCCTCTGTGGCCAGACGGGAGAATGTCCTGATTAAGCCAAACTATCAGGAAGGTCCTCAGTAAAAGTGAATCACATTTTCAAGGGGAAGCGAGTGCACAAGACCCACCTATAAGTCTTCACAGCTAGTCTTCTAGAGAAAAGAAAGATTAGACTAGAAATCAGAGGATGATGTTTTAATAATGACACAAAAGCAATAACAAAAGTATAGGGTGGGAAAGATGCATTTGTTATTAGACAAAGAATGAAACACATAAGTTATGTCTCAAATGGAAACCAGGTCAGTTTTTGATCTTCCTTTTCTGGAAAACAATTTATTGCTGGACATAACTCAAAATGCAGATTATCTGTTAGAAGCCCTGGAAAGCTTTTTCTCTAACATCATTCGACCAAAAGGAAAGCTCTTGTTCTCCACATGCAGGTTTACAGATCTCCAGCCTGGAAAGGGGGTTTAAACAATAAACACTGCAGCTAAAATAGAACTCTTAAGAGAGCCCAAGCTGAGCAGCGGCCCATTAATAGCCTAGTTCTGGGTATTCATAACATCTTTTCGAATAACGCCAGACAGAACAGGGACTTATTATTTATAGTCCAGTGTGAGGTGGGCGAGAAGACAGGATGAGTCATGCTTTATTCTCTCTGCCCGAGGCTGTTACTGAGCCTCTCCCTCTGACTCAGCACCAGTGGCCTTGCAGCTGACAGGCCCAGCACCAGGAGCTTAGGAAGCAGCAGTGCTGGTTAATAAAGGTAGTTTGACAATAGTATTCATTCCCTGTAGCAGGCAAAAGAACAATACCCCGAGGGCTGGAGCTCCAGTGTTCCCAGAGGGAGCAGCAGGCCCAAGAAGTAAGGGAAATGCTCGGGAAAACAGGGCCTGTCTTTCTCTCCGAGTCCTTCTCTATTGCTCCTCTGGACTCTCTCCTGAGGCCTTTGCCAAAATCACCCACTTTAATCAAAATATCTTACGTTTAAAAAGAATATGTAAGGGAAAGAATATTGTATCAGATATTAGGAGACCAATTAGGTTCTAATCCCTTTTGTGCTTCACATCTGCTGTGTTATCAAAGACAATTCAACCCCTCTGGGCCATAGGAGGAAAAGAGGGAGGGCTAGAGAAGGGATTTATACAGTATGAAGACTAATGTTCCCCCTCGAGCCAGATTTCTAGGATTTCCTTCACTGTTCCCGGCACACTGCCACTGCAGCCAAGTTAGAGATTTGAGGGCCCTTTGTCAGGACTCTACAGAAGTAGGTCCTTAGATCCCTTTACCTGAATTGAGTAATGCCACTACCACCAGCAGCAAAGTCCCCTTCTCTTTTTGCTAATGCAGAGCCCAGAGCTTTTCTTTTTCTCTTCCTTACCAAGACCAGCTACTACAGCCTCAGCAGGGTCTCTAGGCCTGATGCCCCCCATGCACACCGCCCAGAGCTCCTCTCCCACCCTCTTCTCTCCTGCTCCTGTCCCATCCCCAGAGCCATCACAATGGTCACTTGCCCATCCCATTCCCAGAGCCATCATCCTTGGTGAAAAAAGAGATTCCCACTGACCAGGGAAAGAGCTGGGAAGAACTGGAAGAGAAAACAAAGTTCTCTTCCTACTGCTGAGGTTTTTGTTGTAAGAAATTTGTGTTTCTGCGATACAGTAGGAGCTCAAACAAATGTGTGTTAGTGACTACAACAGCATTTCTAACCCACCTCCTAAAGCTGCTTCCCAGAGTCACATGACAACTTTCATGCTAGTTGTGTATTTTGTGTCCCCATGATGGGGTAATCGCTTTTCTGCAGGCTGGCCTGGGAACCTCACTCCCCTGAGCATTGTTTCTATGGAAAAATGCTGCCTGAGTGGCAAACAATTGACTTACTAACGACCTTTGTAAACTATCTTTCCTTCCTCAGTCGGCTTATAGAATAGAGACATTTAAAAGAGCAGCCATTTCTGGCTATAAAATAATTCCACATACATATATTATCATATAGAGACAGATGCACATATATACAACAAATATGTAAGGAAGTAGGTGGTAAAAGTAAATCACCTAATTGATCTCTCTGACACACACAGACATCTGACAAAGCTCGCCTTCATTTACAGATTGGGGTCAGCCTCCCTAGACCATCCCCTAAAATACATGTTTACTGTGGGAAAGGGGTTTTCAGTAATGATAATACTGAATATACTACAAAGCAAGGGTAGACTGTTAACACTCAAGATCAAGAAAAACAAATATCTGGAAAAAAAACACAGACATATAGAAGACCTAGATATAGACAGTATAGTTCCCCAAAATACTCATGTCCAAACAAGATCTTTAAGAAAATAAATGCATGGGACTGCCTCTCCTCATGGCTAGGAAGTCATGGAGCAAGTGACACACCACACACTGTCCTTTAGAGAGGATGTCCAGTGGTCCTCTGAGCAGGTGGAAAGACATAGAGGCAGGAATGAGCAAGGTATATGCAGAGGCAAGCAAGTGGGGACCTGAGTGGAGAGGCCAGAAAAACTGGGGCTGAAGACTTTGAAAGGATTTTGAGTGCTGAGCTGAAATGCTTAGGTCTGAAAAGCAGAGTCATGGGGTAATGTGGCCTCTGAAATAGGAAAACGAACTGAACAATTTAAATGGTGGGGTCTGTAAGGGCAGCCCATCTAAGCCGCCGCCCCATGTTCCACACATCCGCCATCTCTGACCTGGCAGCTACCAAATACCTGGCATGTACCTGGCACTTCAATATAATCTTTGATAATGAAATTGAAAGCGAAGGAGGCGGCCTTGGAAAAGAAGGGAGGGAGGAGAGGCAGGGAATGGTGCCTCTTTGCTTCTGTCCAGATTGACTTACCTCATAGAAGAGTCCTTCTGGGAACTGCTGGAAGCACTGGGCGCACACGAAGCACTGCTCGTGGTACAGCTCTCCATTACTGTTCACGATCTTCTCAGCAGGTGCAAAGCCTCCTTTGCAGCGCTCACAAGTGGCGCTGGCCAGGGCATTGGCCATGTTGCTGCAACACACAAAGGACACCAAATCACAGACTGTCAACCTTTTCTTAGATTTAAGACCAAACAGCATGAAAAGCCGATGAGCAAATTCTATCTGATCACAAAAATCATATTTTATCTATTAAGTTCAATTTCTTGCCTGTTCCTCAAGTACTCTAGCTGTTCCAATCTCTTTACCCTAGCATCTTAGGTTCTGTAAGGACCTCCTGCTTTGATCCTGTTTGTCTAACACTTTTGGTATTATTCTTGTTAAATATACTATGAGTGAGTGCCTACTAGGTGTTAGGCACTAGGGACCTCTGAGATGAAAGTCATGAGTTGATAAATAGCTCAATTAAAATATCCACAAGTTAGCCGAGCAGAGCTGCCCCTGTTATCCCAGCTACTCCCAGCTACAAGGGAGGCCTAAGCTGGGGGATCATTTGAGGCTAGCAGTTTGATTTAATGTGAGCCTGTGAATAGCCTGTGCAACGCAGTGAGACCCCGTCTCTAAAAAAATAAACAAAAAATCCACAAGTCAACATCTCAAAGCCAGTTTCTTTCTTTTCTGAGAAGAGACTCTAAAAACTGCATGTCGCCATCAAATTGGTACTGAAAAAAAAAAAAAAACTGCATGTCAACTGAATGCCATGTCATAACTCAGACACAGGTTATCCCCTTCAAAGCAACTGTTGAAGTCCTTCTTAAAAGCAGCCAAGATGTCCCAGTCCTATTAACTAATTTGCAAGATAAATACTGAATATTAATATTTTAAAATATATCTTAAAAGCACTAATTTTACATCGTAAATATCGTAAAATGCCATACAAATGGCAACACAGGTTCACAGAAGTGGAATGATTAGCCCAACATCACAAAGCTAGTTAGTTAAAGGCAGACATAGGACTAGAATCCATGTCCTACACCCCATAAAATCACACTATCAATCAAAACTGGTCACAACACTAATTTCAGACACTTGAGGGTACATGACAGGGACACAGCATGTTTTGCAGGTCAGGAGAGTGAAGCCAAGCAGCCAAGTATCTCCCGCTGAGCCCAATGGTTTGGGTAATTCTCTCACCAGTGAACCCACAGTACCTAAAGCGCACAGAAAGCATTCAACAAATTACCCCAAGCTCTCTCTAACCACTGTACAGCATGGAAGAAGAAAAGCAACATGGCTTTGACAAGCATATAATGAGATGATTATTTCACATAAAGATCTGTTCTGTTTCTCAAAGTCCTAGAAATAGAGAAGGTCCCCTATGCAGAGCAGTCACCAGCCAAGCAGTCCTTCGCAATGTGGCAAGTTTATTTTCAGACGCCCATTTAGAGAACAGGCCCTACCAGCATGTCTGGTCCTCTGTGCAGTGTCTGACCTCCCAGATGTTTAATCAATCCACCTCGTCAGGTTACTACCAATGTTCTCCTGAATCTTCACAACCACTCCATGAGGCAGACAGGTGGACAGTCTCCACTTTACACATAGATAACCAACTGTCGTGCCCCATCAGTTTCCAAGTTTCACTGTTTCCTCAGCAAAAGTTGTCACACTTACCCCACTTCCACCCAACCCAATAGCAGACAACTGTGTGCTTTGCCTTCTACCCCCAAATGTTTCAAAGAACAGCAATCCTATTTTGTACCCTTGACATAAATAATTATATGGAGAAATACCATGTTCATCACTAATCAAAATTCAACTTCATTTAGTAGGTTTGAATACAGAATTAAAATGTCACCAAAAAAAAATGAAGGAGAAAGGGAGGCAGCCTCACTGCTTGGCAAACCTGACTGAAGTCTCATGTTAAAATGAATTTATACTTAGTCATTCCGAAATTATTGTGGGTTGCAGGAAAAATCTGTAAAATTCCCATCTTCACCCAGCTTTGTCATCACCCTGATGAACTATGGTACTTTTAACAAAGCTCCAGAGAGTCTTGTACTGCTTCCTTTCTCCTGCCCAACGTCCACAGGTGTTCCTTGATAGGAAAGTGCAGTAAGCTCCAGATCTGCCCATAACTCTCAGTACTGTTTTGAAGAAAAGTATATAAAACCACTTTGGAAACCACAAGATGCTACTCAAATACATGGCATTATTATTCTTTCTAAACCCCCTCAAAAGATTCACAAAACCTCAATGATCTTAATGGAACTCCAAAAAAGTTGGAAAAGGACATTCTGGAACGCCCTGGTTCATTATCACCTACACCAGTGGTTTTCAAAGTGTAGGGATCACCATGACCCCTTCAGGGGTCTGAAAGGTCCTCTCTCTTCCAACTGCATCTCTATGGGAGGCTAATTTTCTCTATATATTTCATCCAGAACAATACAATAGGTTGAATGCAGAAGCAGGTATAAGAAATTCTTTTATTATGACACATGTTAGTTAATAAGATTTGCAAAAAATGTAAAACAATGCTATTCTTCCCCCCCGAGCTTTTCCCATTTTGGAAAAGTTATTTTTCATAAAAATATTAATACTAGCAGTTCACTAATATTATTGACATGTAATTAGCTTATATTTTAAACAAAGTAATAAATATTTAAAATTTTTTTCAGCTTAAATTTCTCAGACAATAAATACTAATGAACAAAAGTTCTTTGGGGACTTTGATAATTTTTAAGAGTATTAACAGGTCCCCCAGATCAAAAGGTTTGATTGTCACTGACCTGTTTATACTCATACTATGGACTGTTTATATTCAAGTTCAAATATTCAAATAGAATTAGGAAATAGGTAGACACATTATAAAAACAAGCACATACTTACTTCCCATACACAGGAAAAATAAATTATATTTAGAGATAATGTAATATGTATTTTTCAAGAAGTATTCTATTCCTTTTAATAACAAGCAAGGGGAGGGAGGAGGAAACAAAACAGTCATCCCACAGTCCAACTGAACTGTTCACACTTCCCCTTCCTCTTGTCTTTCACCCTCTGGCGCTATGCTTTTTTAATTACTACATTTGATAGAAGTTACTTTTTAAAAGTCATGAAGGACAGCTACAGCTCTTATTAGATTAGTTATAATTAAGCAGCTAAATTTTCAGAAGATTTTCACTAAAAAGGGCTGATGACAAGAAATATATAAGTAGGGGGATGTATATATGTAAAAAATCTTCATAGCTGGGAAGTCATGACTGATTTAGATGATCTACATTCACAAATCGACTGACCTCGCACAGCAAATTTGCTATCATGTAGCTTTCCATTATTCAAGTGCCTCATTCATCGCAGTATGTGAAACAAATTTTTGGTCTTAAAATGCAAAGATGTGTAAATCCAAAAGCCATCTTGAGAGTTCAAGCAGTTAAAAATATTAGTTACAGTTTTATAATAATTCCCCAATTACTCTCAACCAGGGCTGATCATGAACTATGAAGATGAAGGACACCTGTTGCAATACTACACAGAACAGATTCCACAGCGGAAAAGCAGATCAGTTAAATGCCCTTAACAATTACTTGACAAATTGAGGATCTGCAATACTTCCAAGCTCACAACCTTGAATGAGGTCAGTAGACTTATTTGAGTTGGTCTGAAGGCTACTCTGCACTCTTTTTGTAAAATAGGTTTGCTAAAACCCATTTAATAATATAAATTAGACTAACTTGTTAGAGTTAACAGCATGTTCTATATGTATATTGATTTGCTAGTTACACAATATTCCTTATTTATGAATTCAACCCCCTAGAGATAGTATTAAGAAACCCAGTTAGCCTACTTCAAACTGTTAATTGTTAAACTTAACAAAAATGTTTATCAACAATATGTAATTCAACTTTTCACTGTTTCACCCAAATTGCTTTTTATCTTTGGTAAGTTTTAGAGTACAAAATTTATCCATTACAAATCTTGACAACAAAACCTCTAAACCTCCCTCACGGCTGACACAATGAAAATGTACTGCTCTCAGAAACCTACTGCAGACAAAGACTTTGTCCTCTGGCTGCAAAGGTAGCATTTCCCCTCACATCCGCATGTTGTCCAGTGGAAGTTTTAAGGACGAGGCAACCTTTCTGCCTCCCTGGAACAAGCTGTGCTGCGAGCTGCCCTCAGAGCCCCTAGATTACACTGGAAAACCCCGACCCGAAGTCCAGTAAATAAAACTATATTAGCTAGGTCACAAAGGCTTGTGGATCTAGAGCTCATGAACCCAAGATCTGGAAGAGGGCCACTCCAGGACAGGAGACACTCACAATTTTGCGTAAAAGTCACAAAACTCCTTGTAGACTTTTATGTCACTGTGCCTGCGCTGCAGTTTGGACACAGCCCTCTCGTCTTCATTCCCATTAGCCTCGTGGACACTGTTAAGGACGGTTCCGGGGATCTCTTCATTCTCTGGGATAACGCAGGGGCGCACTCTGCCTGGGAAGGCCATCATGGGTGCTTGAGAGCTCTGAGCCCAGGGCCGAGAGTGGCAGGACACAGAGACGGAGAAACAATATCCAGGCCTCCCCCGCTCCCAGCCAGGGTCACTCCCACTCTTCCCACACACGTCAGCCCTGGCTTGCCAGGGTCGCTACTGCTGCTTCACGTTAAGAGCTCAGCAGCTCAGCATCAGTTGGCACGGTAGTCCGGATTTACTGAGGCTTTCTGTAAGTTCTAAAAAGCACTCCACAAACTAGGGACAGAGTCTTTGTCGGAGCAGCCTTCCCCGTGGACTCCAGCCATAAACACTACTACAGGAAGACAGGGCTGTTTTGCAGGTCTTCAAGAGAGTGAAATAGTCACATGCCCTGGGTATTTGGCACCAGGCTTTAACACGGGCACTGTGCTTCTTGACTTTGGTAGGGGAAAGAATGTTTTGGAGAGCTGGTAAAAACACACCCCAACCATCTCCCCGGTGAGGCAGAGACTACCGCTACACTCTGAGGAGCCTCTGAACTCTTCCCTGACCCGAGTTTCCACAATCCCAGGGTGTGGTTGCCAGCTGTGCCCTACGGCTGGCTTCCCCCAGAAATTTGTGAGCCTCTAGGACTTCACTCTTGGCATATAGCAAGAGTCCAGTGA